TATTATTATTTACTTATATAATATTATATTACTAAAAATTGTGTTTGATGTAAATAAACGTTTTTGTTACCTTTGTTATTTAATTGGTTATCATTTTCATTATTAATTAATATATGATGTTTATGAACATTGTGTTTAAATTGTAAAGAGTTTATGGTTTTTTTGTAACTAGAGTAAAATCACTCACTAGGTACCTGGCGTGGAGTATTAGACCTTTTGATGAACGAATAAAAAATATTATGAAAAATAAAAATACTACGTTATCCTACAAAATACGATGTGCATATTTGGTTTCCTACATTTTTTTTCGTTCAGACTTCTAAAATGCTAAGTTTTTATATTTTTGTTTAATTCATTTTACGTTGAAATATACCGAGTTAAATAAAATCGTCAGAATTTTTATGTCATGCGTTCTTACCTCTTAGTATGAAAACAATAACATTTTTTTTTTTTAAATACTAAACAAATCTTTATAACGTTACTGGTCGTAATTCCATACTTATTTTTAAATAAAAAAAATGTACAATTATTGTTTTTCTTTCATATCAAAAAATGTAGTAATTTACGAATAAAACACATAATAAAAATTAAATTAGTTTATGTTTATAATTAGAAAGTCTAGAACAATATCGAAATCTTAATGCTGTAATATTTTGTATAGACATAATCTAAATGTTTTTAATATTATATATATAGGTAACTAAAAATTGGAATAACTAATGCATATTAAACTTAATTAACATAAGATACCAGCTTTTAAATAGGTAAGCTTATTTTATATATTCTTGTAGTAATGTATAAAAATATATATAATGCATAGGTTATAATAATATATATAATGGTATCTTAAAATTTAAAAAAAAAACGCTCGTATTTAGGTAAATATATAACTTTTTAATATTTTAATATTTATAAAATATGTAAAATAATAGTGAAAAAAAAATGTTTTAATTAGAAAATTTAAAGACTCAGACGTAGTTAGACATTCGAGCATATCAGAAACAGTAGGCGGTGTTGGCGAAGGCGGTTTTACAACCAAACTTGTGGAAGTATCCGCATCAATTTGAAAAGGACTAGTGTCTTGACAGGACACGATGCCACATTAAAAAAAGTTGGTGGCGTTGAAGAAGGCAGTTTTACAACTACATTAGTTGAAGTATCCACATCACTTTGTAAAAGCTTACATTTAGGCTTGAACACCCATATGCACACTGATATTGTTGAACGCAAATTCGATCAGTTCAAACCGGACGTGAAAAATCAAAATTAACTATTTTATGCCTTTTATCAGTATTTCATTATGCAATTTTTCGATTCCAATTCCAACTTAACGGTCTGTAAAAAAATAATAAATAATATTATACGGTGTAGGTATGCGTTTTAATAACCACTGTCGGAAAAATCGTTACGATCGTTCTCCAGTGGTAAACTGAAAAAGTGAAAACACTGTAATTTAATAATAAACATTATGCACCATAAACATTGCCCATAATAAGCTCAAACGTTTACTTAAAGGAATTTCTGAAGCCGACGTTTCCTTCATTGTATATTATTTCAACCATGTCCTTCCCGGCGAATATCTTTATTATAATATATTGTTTTTGACTCAAATAAATCTATCCTTAATTTAAAATATATTTATATATATAGAATATCTGCTCTAATATTATACAGATCAATTTTTTTAAATATAAATTATTTGATATCTCTAATAATATTACGATTTCTGAAATTTGTTATTTTCATAATTTTAAATCATTAGATAATAAAAAGTAAATTATTACCAATTTTTGTGAAATAATTCAACAGAATGTGGGAACTGAAGATATCAAGCTCGAGCCCGATGCTCTTCGTTATGTCGACACTTTGAGTTCGTGAAAATAGCTGCAAGTGTGACTTGCTGTCCATGATGAAGTTTCCAAAATAGAACTGACGAACAAATTTACAATACAGCCAGGAATAATTGTCACCGGAGAGATAATGAAAATTATGATGAATGAAATTTCGAGCACTCACACTGGAAACGCATATCCATTGAATCTTAGACCGGAGTCCGGAAGTATATCACCATGAATTACAAAAAATCAGTAGTTCCACTACACCCATTGAACTAATTTTGATGATGGCTATATCCAGTTTACCGGATCAATTTAATGGAAATCTGATAAGTTAAATATTATGTTCTTAAGAGACAGCAGATAAGTCCGGACTTTTATAAGGATACATTCACAATTTAAAATATGATTAGTCGACTATTTGTACGTACATAAGGTATAAAATGTTACAAACGTTATAAATTATTTAATATATACAAGTACTCCTCTTTACGCTTGTCAGCAGCTGTTTACGCTCAAGCACTTACGATCCTACAAACTTAATAATTTAACAGAAAATACAAAAATTTTATTTTTAGTGAATAACATATAACGACTCGAACTACAATAGTATAATGTTGGAAATCGTCGTAATATTATAACTTAAAATTGTTAGATTTTTACATAGATCTTTTATGGATTTGTATTTTGTATCATTTAAATCATAGACATAGAATATATTAGGTATATATTATTATTTAATAGTTTAAGTTAATATTGACTGATAATAGTGGGATGAGTAAATGAGTAATGACGTATGGAACATATGCACATATTATCGATTCCTATTTCTATTAAAATATTATTTATATTCAGTTTGGTCGTTTAGCCCTTTGTTGACCAAACTTAGAATTAAAATTATTTTCCATTTTTTTTTTTTGCATAAAAATATAATAATTGACCTATTGATAAATAAGTGCACCTTAAAAAAAAAATTTTTTAGCCCCAATTTGAGTTAAGTACCTGGTACTAAAATGTACCGTTGGTCATTTAGCACTTTATTTTTTTACATACAACCTATACAAATCAAAAAATTATTTTTGCAAAGATAATTTTTTAAAATTGTAATATTATGTTTGGGTTCTAAATAATACAAATTTCTCAAAATATGTATATGCATTTAATATAATAACAAATATTTAAAACCTTATACATATGATTACTATTTTATTTTTAATTCTAAAAATGATAGAATCTAGATATACATGATATTGTCGACAGGACAACCAATGACTAACGTGAAATAGCTAATCAGAACGGCCCGACGGTACTTTTGAGTCCATTGCATATAATCAGATATTTTCCATTATTTTAATATATTGAGATATAAACAATTACAATATTTATAATCTAGACATAATTACAAACAATTCTAGCGGATAAGAATGCTAAAAATAGCTTTTGTACGTATTTAAAAACCAGTCTAATGTTCGCATGTTTAATTCTAAGAATGTTAGTGTACATTGTTTACTTTGACAACTATTTACTCGGTATATTTCTAAATTTGGACCATAGTTTAGCTTAACCCGTCGTTAGTACACATATAGTTTGTAACATGATTGTTACACTGTGAGCGCGGCGCTCACACTTCACTTTTTATATTATTATTAATTGATCTATTAACTTAAAAAATCAAACCATATCTAGAATTATGTATATTTTTATCCTTCACTAAATAGTATATAAATACTTTTTATGTACATTTCATAATTTATAAAATAAAAATAAAAAACAGTATATACAAAACTGTGTACGTAATCAACTACGGCGGTGGTGATAAAAATATTGTGCGGTTAGTACAGTGGTAGCGCGACACTCACTTAATCGGTATTCGGTACTGTCGACTTTGTCTAACGATAACTGATAGAAATGACAAATAGCGTAATTATTTATTTTTATAAATATTTATAGACATGTTATTTGAAGGTATTTATAGTATCAGATTAATTCAATAATATTTGTAGGAACGCTCAAAATTCTATCTGTGTGAGCGGCGCGCTCACATGTGTACCAACGACGGGTTAAGAGGTACTTGTGCGTACCAACGGGTCACAATAAAGATAACCGAATCATATTATTTAATATATATTTATTTGTACTGTGGTACTCAGAAGTACCGTCGGTCGACAAAGGGTTAGATTAAACAGAATGATTTATAACACGGAGGCTAATTTATATCAGCCTCGTTCTACTGTATATTTCCAATTCATTTTCACCACTTGATGTTAATATTTCAATATAGTAACTGAAACATAAAAATGTTTGCCTTCAAGTCTAATCCGTTCGTTTCATTAACGTCATTTAGCGAGTATTCGTAATATTTTGTTGTCGTCAGTCCGTTGTTCCTCTTTAGACGGTAACGATAAATCGCAGAGTGTGTCTGTGTGTGGTGTCGTACTCCCGCGATACTTAACAGCTCAAATCGCAGTTATAAGTTTTTTTACCACCAACTTTTGTCTTTTACAATTTAAGATAAAATTATGAATTACATTTTAAACCTTTAAAGCTACTAAATTAATTTTATTATTTTGGAGATGATGAGGTCATTATATACTGATAACAGGCTAATAATAATTAATAATAATCCAGACAACAAAATTATATTTTAAGAAGTTTTAAATAATATTTTAAAATAAATATAAATGTTATAAGAATGTTCTATTTTGGTTTTTTAGCCATGCTTTTAACCTTTTAGCAATAATATTCTGAAAATATTTTAAGTATAATATTGTGTTTATAACATTGTTTAATATTTTGAGAATATGAGAATTAAGTTTCAAAATATTATTGAAATATTTTATGGATTTTAAATTATGTATCAGAAATATTATTTACATGTTTTTACAACATTCATTAAAGTTTGAAAATTATATATAGATATATAATATAAAATACAATGGAATATACTTTTAATATTTTAACAGTATTGGCTTAATTTTTGCAGACTTATTTTGTATACTTCATAATTTATTATTAAATAATTTGGTTCAAATTTACACAATTGCCTCAACAGAATATGTACATTAATACTAGAGTGTTATGACTGTTATGAGGTTAGTTTATTTAGGTACTATAAACTTTAATACACTTCAAAACATTATAACTATTGTACACAGAGAAGAGGATGTTGTGATTATTATCTTATTATATTACAAAATATTAATAATTATTTACATTATTGAGTTTTGGTGTCACAATGTTTAAAAGTCGTACATTAAAGTTACTAAAAGGTTTTGGAATCAAACCTCCTGAAGATACAAGTAAGTACCTATCATTAAAATTATTTGAAAATATAAAATGATATTATTAATAATTAAAATAGGTAGTATACCTAATAATATTATAATATAAAAAAAAAACAATTTAAATATTAAATTATTTTATTAATTGTGATTTTTAAATTAATAATAATATGTATTTTAAATTAAAGAAAAAGAAAAAGAAAATGCAATTAACAATACACAGTTCAAGAATGTGGAAAAAGTAATGCATTGGCTGGAATCAGAATTTAATGGCATTCCTTGTGTCAATGAAGATGTTGAAGAGAATATTGATTGTATATAAATAAAAGTATAATATTATCATAACTGAGATTAATAATTTTAGTATTATATTATAACAATAAATTATTTTCAGATGAACCTTTTAAAACTTTAAAATGTATGCCAGTAAACACTATTATTCATAACGAACCAGATTATTATGAACTTCAAAATGTTTGTGAAGAAACAAATTCTGTTTAAGATATTAGTAAGTGCAAATATTTATTTTATAAATTAAAAAATAATAATTATCATAGGTATTATTATATTAAAACATATTAGAATATTAATTTTAATAATAATTTTAGGTCACCATATTAATGAAACCTTGGTTCAATCAAAAGATGGAACAAAGGAATTTAATGAGTGGAATACAATTTCTAATAGCTTGATTGAATCAACAAACCATACTGTACAAAATGGTCAATAAATAATTTTTAATTATTACCTAAATATACATTTTGATGTTCTAACATTTATTTTTTATTTTTTAGATGAAGTCTGAGTTTCATCTAATTTTGATGAAATTTATAATCCTGAATCTTCAACAATGTCTGGAATGAAAAGGACTCGATAGAACCATGGCCAACCAAATTTATGGAAAAAAAACTTAACAAAAAAGATGAGGAGTTCACCGAGTTCATGTCAAGAATATACTTCAAGAATAAAATAAATTGATAAAAAAATGAATACTAAATTACCTAAACAAGTTGACTGTTCTAAATGTAAGTTTAAGTGTCAAAAATATTTTTCTGAAAAAGAAAGAGAGATATTGTGTAAAGAATATTGGAATCTAAATGATTCCAATCGCCAGAAAGATTTTATTCTAAGTTGTCTAGAAATAAAAGAAGCTTTCCAACGTTCAAACAGTGTTCCTAAGACACAAAGGCTTCGGTCTCTGTGTAATATTTATTATTTTACATTAAATATGAAAAAAATTAGAGTATGTCAAAAATTTTTCACAACTACTTTATGTATAAGTAATGGACCTATTAATACAGCAGTGAAAGAAAGATCAGAAAACAAATTATTTATTGAATGTGATAAAAGAGGTAAACATTGTCCATCAAATAAAACATCTATTGAAGATTTAATTATTAATTGAAATAAAATCTCATATTAATAGTTTTCCTGTAGTTGAAAGCCATTATACTCGTAAATCTACCAAAAAACTATACTTAGATGAAAAGTTCTCAATTTCTAAAATGTATGAATTGTTTAAGGATAAGTATAAAATTGATCATCCCCATACTACTACTATACCACAGCTTGCAATGTATCAAAAATATTTTGCACTAATTTTAATTTTTCATTCTTTAAGCCTAAAAAGGACCAGTGCGCTGCATGTGATATGTATAAAACAGCAAGCCTAGAAGATAAACTGCAATTAGAACTATGTCACAATGAGCATTTAGATAGGATGTAACAATCTTTTATAGCAAAAGATATTGATAATACGTTATCAAAAATAACAAGTAACTATGTGGTTGCTAGTTTTGACTTGCAATCTATACTACAAATAACATGTTCAGATGAATCAGATGTATCATTAAAGTATTATAGTAGAAAACTAAATATGTTTAACTTAACTGTATATGAAGTAGCTCTTCCTCAAAATGCATATTGCTACACATGGACTGAAATTAATGGAAAATATGGTAGTTCGGAAATTGGTTCCTGTCTTTTGAAGTGGATTCAAACATCCCCAGAAGTAAAAAAATGTAACACTATATTCAGATTAATGTGGTGGTCAGAATAGGAATCATAATATTATAGCTTTAATGATTTATATTATTCAAACAACAAATATAGATCAAATAGAGCATACATTTATGGAGAGTGGCCACTCTGTGATGGAGGTTGATTCTATGCACAGCGCAATAGAAAATGCTAAAAGAAATGTTCCAATTTACACAGTTTAAGATTGGCTAACTATTTTCCAAGTTGCAAGATCAACACGAAATAAAAATAAATCTAAGCCCCCATATGAAGTAAAAGAAATGCAATTCAAGAATTTTATAAACTTACAACAACTCTCTTCTTTATTGATAAAAAAATTAAATAAAAAGACACGGAAGGTAATATTATAAACTGGTTGAAAGTTAAAAGTTTTGAATATAAAAAAGATAATCCTTACATTGTTGGATATAAGTATGATTATTTTAGTGAATATCAATACATTAATGTGAGGAAAAAAATGTTAGGAATAGAATTTAATAAACTAATTTTAGTAATTTAGAGTTAAACTGCTTATATTCAAAACCGATACCAATAAGCCATGAAAAGAAAAAGGATTTGTTTAAACTATGTAACAAGAATGTGATACCAGATGAGTTTCATATTTTTTAAAAATTTGCCAAGTATTCCTCTTAAAAAAGATAAAACTTCAGAACCAGGAGAATCAGATTCAGAGGTATATGAAGATTGATTTTTATTTTTATCTTTTATAATATTATAGGTTGTAATTTGTTATTTTATTTTTGTAATATTTATGATAATATTAAAAATAAAAATAAATTCATATTAATAATTACATTTATTTTATTTTTCATGAAAAACATATTTATGTAGATGTTAATAATAACAAAAAATAATTTTTAATTAAACATATTGATTATTGACATAAGTACAATCTAGTGATAATAAGCTGGCTATGTCTATTATGAAAAACAATTATTATTAAACCAATATCGATTTTTTCCTGCTAAAATAAATAATAATCATCTTTTTTCTATTCTGTAAAACTCACTAATGGTTACACTATTTGCATACAATACTTTATCAATAATGAAAACTATGTTTCATTAAACATTTTGGTAAAAAACTTATATATTTTAATGTGGTAATCTAAGCAGATTTCATTAAAAAAAAACTATATCAATATCTTAAAAATTAAATATGTTGTAGGGTTGAGACCAAAAATTAACTTTTAGAAAAAATTGAAAGTCATTTTAACAATTACGATTTTTCCGTTATTGAGTTTTGGCAAGAAGCCGACGATATATACTATTAGGTATATATTATTATATACTTACGAAAGGACGTTATATCCGCATGTGTTGTCTGTCTTACTAACGTACGTCATAGCAAATTTATGCTTAAACGTGATCTGCTGAGCGTAAATTGTCTATGTTTGAACTTGATGTAGACAACAAACATCTGTGTGGAGTCCTCTTAGGCCGAAGCTATACACGGCGTCCGCCGCGTTTTCCGTCCAGTTTAAAACTCATTGTTTCTTATTGAAGTAGCTATACTCGACAGAAGTAATTATTACGCTGCGTTTTAATTCGCCGTGGAAAACACCGGTCGGCTTGCGTTTTTGGCGGACGAACGCCGAAGTATAAAAACGCTCGATAGATACGCCTTGTATAACTAGTCCGTCGGAAAACGCCGTGTGTAGCCCCGGCCTTAAAGTCATATATGTTTTAAATATTATAAATATACTTCATGTGAAATGTACATAGAACATTTAAAACTAAATGTTATTTTAGATTGTTTTTAAATTGTTCTTGAAATGTTTTTTTAAAAATTATAATCAAAATATTGTAAATCTAACAAATTCAAAATATACAAAGAATATTTGCAAAAAAATATTATACTATGTTAGCAAATAAATGTCATGTTATTATAACATTCTCATTAGCGATTTCAATTTTTTTTTTTTTTTTTTAACTGTATGAACCGACGACGCGTTGCGGGAATTGCTTACGCATTCCGTCCGCGACGAAATTAGATTTTAATTTAAATGTTATAAAAAAAAACTTTAATAGCACATTTTAGAAATATTTTAGATTAAATATTATTTTTTTAAATATCGAATAATGTTAATATAATGTAACAATTAAAATATTTTTAATTTAACTAAGTACCTACTAAAGTTACAATAATATTGAAATTATGAAATTGTTGTCTGGGATAAATTATAAGAATGGAGAATTTCAGGCAAGCCTGTGCCTAACTTGCCTCTCTCGGCAAGCCGCCACTGGAGAAATTAATGTCATAAACCATATTTGAACTATTGTTTTAATTTTATTAATTTTATGTAGGTATGTTTAATTCACGTTTTAATCCTATTTTCATCTGGTCATCGACACCTATGAGATAAGAAAATATATAACTAACCATCATTACAAAGCACTGGTGTAGAATAAAAATTGTAAAAACGTAATGTCGTTTTGCTGTGAATAATTTTGTGTCAAAATAATCAGGAATAGTGTCACAACTAAAAACAATAAAATAATTTTGAATTGTGACACAATTTTTGAATAAAAGTAATGTAAACAGCCAGCAACAATAATAACATATTACAGTTTTAAGGTTAATTATAAACTTAGTTAACGTAAGTTAACAGTTTTTAAATAAGCTTATTTATAATATATTTATGCAGTAGGTAATGTATAAAAAAATATGTATAATGCATTATTGGTACTCAATAATTTTAAATAAAATATA